ACCGATTTGGCCATGTTTTGGACTTTTCCTACTAATTGGACCCCAGGCACATGGGAAAAAGCTTAAAACCCAATTAAAAACAATTAGAGAAAAAAATGCAAATTTTATAGTTACAAGGGACGACTGCAGGAAAAGTGCTCAAATCCAAATACATTTGTATCTCGAAGAGTAACAAAGCTACAGAGCTGAAATTTGGCAAGCATATGCACATGGACCATGTCGACATTTAGAAAAAAAAAGAGCTCAAAAATTCCCCATAGGGAAACAGTAAGCCCAGGAAATGTTCCCGATATTCTGCTCCATAGGCCATAGAGACCGAAAACGCCAAATACCCTAACTTTGCGAAATAAACCGATTTGGCCCATGTTTTGGACTTTTCCTACTAATTGGACCCCAGGCACATGGGAAAAAGCTTAAAACCCAATTAAAAACAATTAGAGAAAAAAATGCAAATTTTATAGTTACAAGGGACGACTGCAGGAAAAGTGCTAAAATTCAAATACATTTGTATCTCGAAGAGTTACAAAGCTACAGAGCTGAAATTTGGCAAGCATATGCACATGGACCATGTCGACATTTAGAAAAAAACCAGAGCTCAAAAATTCCCCATAGGGAAAAAGTAAGCCCAGGAAATGTTCCCGATATTCTGCTCCATAGGCCATAGAGACCGAAAACGCCAAATACCTTAACTTTGCGAAATAAACCGATTTGGCCCATGTTTTGGACTTTTCCTACTAATTGGACCCCAGGCACATGGGAAAAACCCAATTAAAAACAATTAGAGAAAAAAATGCACATTTTATACTTACGAGGGACGACTGCAGGAAAAGTGCTCAAATCCAAATACATTTGGTTTTCGAAGAGCAAATTTGGCAAGTATATCCATATGGATCATGTCGACATTTAGAAAAAAACAGAGCTAAAAAATCTCCCATAGGGAAAAATTAAGCCCAGGAAATTTTCTCGATATTCTGCTCAATAGGCCATAGAGACCGAAAACGCCAAAATATCCCTTACTTTGCTAATTAAGCCGATTTGGCCCATGTTTTTGGACTTTCCTAC